AAATGACATCGAAATCAACCATATCGAGGAGTAGGAGATCTACACTAGTCTCAAGACCCCCAATAACAACCACACACGAGCGATTGACACGATCTACAACAATAGAATCACCCACCGACGTGGACACATAAACAGGAGCACTCAAAGAATCACGAGGCACAACCAAATACGAAGCAAAATAGGAAGACACATAGGAATATGTAGACCCTGGATCAAATAGGATTGAAGCATCTCTACTACAAACTAAAACAGTACCTGTGATAACAACATCGGAGGACTCAGCCTCAGGCCTGGCTGGAAAAGCATAACATCGGGGTTAGGCCCCACCACCCTGAACTATATCTCTAGGACGACCTCCTGCTGGTTGGCCTCCACCCCTAATGGCCTGACCTCCAGCTCTAGCGGGCTGATCCCTACCTCTAGCTCCTTGACCCCTACCTCTAGCTGGCTGGGCAGGCGGTGTTGGAATCAGGGCATGAGAACTCTGCTGTTGCGACTGAACACCCACTAATCTCGGACAAGCCCTTCGAATATGCCCATACTCACCACACTCAAAACATCCATCTGAATACTGCGGGGGAAACTGAGACTGACCTTGACGGGCCGGCTGACCGCGATAATAACTCTGAAGAGGAGGTGCTTTGATGGGAGCTGGCGGTGCACTATAAGCTGACTACCCTGAAGGAGGAACATAAGGACCACGACTCCCTAAAGCCCCATGAGATGCCTGAAGCGTTGAATGAAACAGCCTAGGATGATGGCCTCTACCAAAAGCACCTCGACCTCCAGATGAGGTCCTGCTGAATCCACCGGAGTGACGAGGCCTCTTGTCAGACCCCTGACCACTACCCTGAGCTAAAACCATCTCAACTCGTCTGGCCACATTTGCTGCATCCTGAAAAGAAATTTCACTCCCTGTCTCCTTAGCCATCTGCAATCTGATAGGCTGAGCGAGTCCCTCAATAAATCTCCTCACCCTCTCTCTCTCGGTGGGGAGTATAAGAAGAGCATGACGGGCCAAGTCAATAAATCTGTTCTCGTACTGAGTGACGGTCATAGAACCCTGCTGGAGGCGCTCAAACTGCCTCCAATAATCCTCTCTCTCAGTGATAGGAAGAATCTTCTCCAGAAATAGCTGAGAAAACTGGTCCAAGTCAAAGCAGGTGACTCAGCTATTCTAGCCAAACAAAAATACCTCCACCATTTCTTGGCGGAACTTGATAAGCGAAAAGCAGCAAAGTCGACCCCATTGGTCTCTACTATCCCTATGTTCCGTAGAACCTCATGAAAACTGTCCAAATAGTCCTGGGGATCCTCTGAAGATGTACCGCCATATGTAGTAGTGAAAAGCTTGGTGAACCTATCCAACCTCCACAAAGCATTTGTAGACATAGCTGCTCCATCGCCGGTTTGTGCTACAACACCCGGCGGGACTACCCCAACTGGCTGAGCTGCTGGAGTCTGAAGCTGGGGAGCCATCTGCTCCGGAGTGTGAGTAGCGGGAGTCTGTGCTCCTCCCCCAGCCCGAGAGACGGCTGGTGCTACTGGAAGTATGCCTGCTTGAGTGACACTCTCCATAAGGCCTAGTAGACGGACCAGAGCATCCTGGAGTACCGGGGTAGCTATGAACCCCTCTGGAACATGACCTGGACCCGCTGGAACGGTCTGGGCCGGAACAACATCATCAAACTCAACCTGAGGCTCCGCCGCTGGTACTGCTGCTCGAGCTCTGGGCTGAGCCCTGCCCCTGCCTCGGCCTCGTGCACTGCCTTGGCCTCGTCCTCTGCCCCTCGTAGGAGCTGCCACTGGGGGCTCGGGCTGCTGATGAAGTGGCACGCATTCTCGCCATCTAAGATAGAACAGAGTAGAAGTTCAATTAGCATTGAGAGATCAAACCGCACGACAGAGATGAATAGAAGTGAAACTGTTCCTAAATCTGTAGCCTCTGGGGATAAGCACAGACGTCTCCGTACCAGTCCCTCAGACTCTACCAAGTTTGTCCGTGAATTGTGAGACCGAAACAACCTAGAGCTCTGATACCAACTTGTCACGACCCGAATTTTCGACTGTCGGGACCGTGATGGCGCCTAACATTGTACTCGCTAGGCAAGCCAACGTTATGGAATATTTTACCTTTTTCCTTTATCTTTTAACAATTACAAGTTAAAAAAAGTAAATCAGCGAAAATAAATGCGGAAGAACATAGTTTAAAAGATTATCTTTACACTAATAACAAAACCGTAATAAATTTCCACCCAGAACTGGTGTCACAACTCACGAACAGTCTATGAATACTACAAATAGGGGTCTGAACGAAAAGTTTACATATGTCCCGAAAGTAGATAAAATAGAAATGAAATAGGATAGAAGGGGACGCCAGGGCCTGCGGACGCCTACAGGACTACCTTGGGTCTCCGCGAAGCAGTGATAGCAACCAACCTCACGATCAGCTACTAGCTCCAAATCTGCACAGAAAGTGCAGAGTGTAGTATCAGTACAACCGACCCCATGTACTGGTAAGTGCCGAGCCTAACCTCGATGAGGTAGTGACGAGGCTACGGCGGGGCATACACCATATACGACCTGCAACAGTTTATACTAAACAGAAAGGAAATACATAATTTAATAAAGTAATAACTGGCTTTAAATAAACTCGAAACCCAGATGTTCTACTAGTATTCAGCTATAACCAATCCTTAAGGGTGCTTCAACATCACAGTAATGGGCCTCAACAGAAATGAAAACATAATAAAAACTGATGAGGCGCGCATCCCGATCCCAACATATAAACAACAACGGTATCAATATTCACCCTTATTCCTCCTTGTTGCGGCGTGCAACCCGATCCCACCTGTCCACCCTTATTACTCCTCAAAAACATATCACCCTTATTCCTCCTGTTGCGGCGCATAACCCGATCCCACCTGTCCACCCTTATTACTCCTTTTTGCGGCGTGCAACCCGATCTCACCTGACAATCACATTTCACCCTTATTCCTCCTGTTGCGGCGTGCAACCCGATCCCAATTACATATCAGCACCAAACACAAAAGAATAAAGACAAGAGTTTCACAAGCTAACTCAAATCCCCCACATTACTTATACCTCAATCCACAAAATGGAATATCACTACGATTATGAAACTTCACCAGTGAAAACTACTCAGCGAGACCAACCAAGGTGCACTATAAGGCACCAGTAAATCAATATAAGCCAACAAGTTAATAAAATGAAGTTACGAAACCAATAATATTTCAACGGGAACATCAAAAGTTAGCATGAAGCGATTAAATAATTCAATAAATAGAACAACAGTTAACATGAAGCAATTAGACATGGAAACATTTATGAGCAAGTAGCAATTAAGGCAGGAAAGCAAGATATAGTGAAACAGGGAAAGGAAACGGGCTAAACAAGTAATTTGGTGACGCATAGGTACTCGTCACCACACCTATACGCCACACACATGATATTTCACATAGCAAGCAAGTCGGGGATCCCTAGTCCCTCAAGTGAAGGTTAGACCAAACACTTACCTCAAGCCAACGGGTATTTCAAAGCTCAATCACCGCTTTACCTCTCGATTCCACCACCAATTCACTCGTACCTAACCATAATTAACTTAATAACATCAATAAACGCTAAAGAAACCAATTCCAATACACATTTATAGATTTTCCAATATTTTCCCAAAAAAGTCAAAAATCGACCCCGGGCCCGTTGGTCAAAACTCGAAGTTCGGACCAAAACCCGATTACCCATTCACCCCCGAGCCCGAATATACAATTGGTTTCGGAATCTGACCTCAAATTGAGGTCCAAATCCCCCAAATTCAAAATTCCTAAATTCTACCCAAGAACACCCAATTTCCCATGAAAACCCTAGATTTTGAGATGAAAACATGTAAAAAGATAAGATAGATTGAAGAAAATGAGTTAGAAATCACTTACCTATGATTTGGAGAAGTTTGGGTCTTTGAAAAATCGCCTAGGGAGGTTTAGGGTTCGGAATTTTAGAAATGAGTTCAAAATCCCGACTAAGTGATGTTTTGACCAGTTGCAGATGTCGCAATTGCGAAGCTTGCAAATGCGTGATAGGCTTCGCAAATGCGAACCTGCTGCATGTCTGCTACTGTCGCAGTTGCGAACAATTTGTCGCAATTGCGAAGACTGACCCTCCTTGTTGACTTCGCAAATGCGAAGGATTGTTCGCAAATGCAAACATGCTGGCCCAACCTTTAGATCACATTTGCGATGAAAGGCTCACAATTGCCAAGCCTGTGAAGGCTCGGGCTAGTGACCTCAGAATTCGATTCCGGACATACGCCCAAGTCCCATATTTTTTTGCGGACCCTCCGGGACTGTCGGAACACGGGTCCAGGTCTGTTTACCCAAAATATTGACCGAAGTCAATTAAAATCATATTTTTATGCCAAAAATTATTATTTCTTAAATTTTTCACACAAAAGCTTTCCGGTATCGCGCCCGGATTGCGCAAGCAAATCGAGGAAAGATAAAAGGAGATTTTCAATGCCTCAGAACACGGAAACGGATTCTAAAACAAAAGATGACATTTTGGGTCATCACAAAAATAGACAGATGGCGAGGCTAGCTAATGCTAATTCTGGAGCATGTCTTCAGTGCTAAATTAGAGTCATTGATGCATGTGGTTTTAGTGTTGTGCAAATTAAATTGAATATTTGGAAATAACAGGGTATAATACTTTGTATGCTTCCTCTCATTTTTGACAACATATTTCCTCGAGGAAATCTCTTAGTTTTGGCATTCCTATGTTACTTTTTGCGTTCTTTTATCGCTTTGTCATATCTGAGTTTACGTGGCTTCTTCACTTCTTTTTATTGAATAAAAGAAAAATGTATCAATGTATTTCATATTTCATGAACAAGTTTGTTGGGCTCGGGCTTTGCCCGGACAACACACCTCTAGTATTTATATTACTGTATTATATAGTAAAGACAAATTGGTCGACCAAGGGCAAAATTGTCATTATACTCTATCATGAAAGAGCTTTTAACAGTGTCTTCAAAACTCTTTCTTCTGTTCCAACAGAACTAAGGCGTATCCTTTCAGTTCTCCTTTTCAACACTGAAGAATACTCTATGCTCCAGTATTTTCTCATCTGTCTGTACAATTTAAGGTATGGTTCTGTTAAATTTTTCTCAATTTTTTTTCTTTTTTCCTGTTTTGTTTTTTTTCCTTTATTTTTTTTAAAGATCCCTTAATGGTTTTCATTTTTAAGGATTAATTTCCATGGCTGTTGTTGTCTTATGGTGACAAAACAAACTACAAACACCTGAGTTAATCACTTAATGATGGAATGAGTTTCGTTTAACTATTTGGACTTATAATTGAAACCAATGAGCAACCTGTCTTCTTTATTTTCCCAAGCAGAGATTGGAACTTTTCATTGTACTGTTTTGTGGCATATTGTGGTTGGTAATTTTAACGGATTACAAAAGAATGTGAATTTAAAATGGTTGTTTATCTTTTGTTCAATTTAAATATGCCAAAGTTTGATTAATCCTCCGTTACTTTAATGGGAAAACAATGTTATACTCTTTGAATTATTTTTTTACATGGATGGAGGAGTTAATTACTTAAATTTTCATCTTAGTTATGGAAATACTGTTGTAAAAATAATCTATTTTTTATACTGTTCTTTATTCACTAAAAGGCATGTCAATAATATGGTTGTGAACTTGTCGTCCTTATATATGTCAATAACTTACTGAACATGACAAGATGGTTGAAGAAGCAAAGTGGTGGTGCACCAAATTTTCAAGATAAAAGATCTAGGAGATTTGAAATGCTTCCTTGGAACTAAATTTGCTGGATCATAATAAGAAATCAGATGTATCAACACATGTATGCTCTATATCATTAGTCTCAAAGCTGTGATTAGATTGATGAGGTTACTGATTGAATTTTTGGTATGACAAAAACAAACAGGTAGCCATTTAGAGCTCAAGTTGAATTCGTTTAGGTAGTCTTTTTTTAACTAATTCTTATACTCCGTACGACACATTCGTCTCTTGCATTCTATCCTATACAGAGTTGATATTCTATACTAGATAGAAGCTTAACTAGAAATTGATCTTTTGTTAGATGTTTTGGTTGTCTTTGACTTGATATTTATGTTCGATAATATGAATGAACGAAGAAAATGGGACAACATGACCACCACTAATGTGCTCAAGTAATGGATATACAAGGAGCAAATAGTTCTTGACAAAGCAATGTTTCAGTTATATGTCTACTTGAAAGTAGTTTTAAATATGCAAACTTGTGCGGAGCATAGTCTTATATATCTTGCTGTAGCCTTTAAGGAACCGAAGATGATTCCTACCATGATATTGACCTTCCATTACTAGCCTCGCATGTTTAAGTTTTCTTGTTATTAATGACATAATTCTTTTTATCATTCAGATATGCTGATTAAGGATTATTATTTTCTGTATTTAGTAGACGGACACTAGATTAGTCTCACCAGTTATTAGTGATTCCAAGGAGATCATCTCAGCTTACGTGGATGTGTCTAACCAGAAAATGATGTTCCTTCTGATTTTGGTCCTTAACCATCCTAAGCTGTTAAGGTATTTTCAATTGAAACTTTCATTTTTGTATTTCTTCTTTCAAGATACTAAGTACTTCCCTTTTTTAAGTTTCTTCTTATAAATATTACGTTTAGTGTCGTGGGAGCGAGAAGGAAACACGAAGGGTAAAACGTCATGTTCAAAGCAAGATTCGCCAAAAACACCAGATCCAAAGGTGATTGTCTGATTTTACTAATTGAGGAAATCTATCTGTTTATCTTCTCCGTACTTATTTATATGTTATGGGCTTTTAATTGAATCTTTTTTGTTTATTTTCTGTATATGTTTTCTCTACTGGAAGATTTGGAAATATTACTACAACGACCAGACTGGTCGTTTTGCTTTTTAGAACCCTGCCCCCTAAATAAGACTTCCTGCACTAGCTTTAACTAATTTACGACCTGCGGGGAAGGTTGATTCGGGATTTAGAAGAGTTTGGGTTGAAATAGGCACACTTGATTCCCTAAGATTTTCTTAAAAGGCTAAGTTTGACTTTGGTCAATATTTTTAGTAAACGGACCCGGACTCGTGTTTTGATGGTCCCGGAGGGTCCGTAGGAAAATATGGAACCTGGGCGTATGCCCGGAATCGAATTCCGAGGTCCCTAGCCCGAGTAATAAATTTTCGTTAGAAATTGTTAAATTGAAATTCTAAGGATTTAACGAAATTAAATTATGCTTGATCATGTTGGTATCGGGCCCGTATGTTGGTTCTGGAGCCCGGTACAGGTCCAATATAAAATTTAAGACTTGCCCGCAGAGTTTGGTGTCAATCCGAGTAGTATAAGTACGTTTCGGCGCGTTTGAAGTAAATGGAAGAACTTGAAGTTCATAAGTTTGATTCAATTGGTTTTAGGGGGTGATTGTTAGATTTAGCGTTGTTTCGGGCGATCCAAGGGTCCGAGCGAGTTCGTTATATGATTTCACACTTGTCGGTATGTCCGGGCGGGGCCCAGGCGTCCCGAGCGTCAATCGGACAAGGCTCGAGTGAAGTTGGAAAATTTAGAAAGGAGCTGAAGCTCCAGTCTTCTGTCATAACCGCACCTGCGGTTGGCCAGCCGCAAGTGCTAGACCGCAGAAGTGGTCGTTCTCTCGCAGATGCGGCCAAGCCAGGCCAAGCCTAAAGCCGCAGAAGCGGCTGATTTTCCGTAGAAGCAGAGCCGCAAAAGCGGCTTGTCCCTAGAAGAAGCGGCCCAACAGCCTAGTTGAAATTCCGCAAAGGCAGACACCACTCCGCAGATGCGGTGGGCGCAGGTGCGGCCCAGGACCGTAGATGCGGAAATCACTGAAGCAGTGACCTTCATTTATTACGGGGTCTAGGCCATTTTTGCTCATTTTCACTCATTTATTGGGTGATTTTGGAGCTCCTGAGAGAAGACTTTCACCTAGCATCTTGAGGTAAGTTCATCATATTTATTTCTAGTTTAATACTTGAACCTCGGGTAGATTAACACACAAAGATTAAAGAAAAATCATGGGATTAGAGCAGAACCTAGGGTTTTGGTAAAAGTTAGATTTAACCACAATTTGTTATGGAATGAAGTAGAAATCATATATTATTGATCCTTAGGTTATAAAGAGCAACTTTCTTCGAAAAATTTCGAAATCCGGGCACGTGGGCCCGGGGTCGGATTATAGGAAACTTGTATTTAAGGTTGGGAAATTACTTCAGTAATTAAAATGCAAACTCTTAAGCTTGTATTGACTAGTTCCTACCTCGTTTAATTAGTTTCGGATCGTTCGGCTCCAAATTGAGGGTTTGAGCACGTTCTTGGTATTGGAAGTACGCTTTGGAGCGAGTTGAGTCTCCTATCTAACCTTGTAAGAGGGAATTGTCCCCATAGGTGATATAATTGAATAATTTTCCACTAAATGTGGGGGCTACGTACGCACTAGGTGAAGAGAGTCCGTGCGTAGATGCATCTATGGTTCGCGCCGTTCAACCCTCCGGCAGTGCACACTTTATTTTTATGTTGGATCGGGCCGTACGACCTCGGCACTACCTGCGCATGCTTCTTGCTCGATATATTTCTACGGACTGAACTTTGTTGTATGCCTCGAAATGTAAATGGATAACTGTCGCATTATCTAGGAAAGGACCTGATACTTCTTGCTATAAATTGTTAATTATTTGTGCTATCCATGCTTAGTATAACACCTTCTCATATTATTTGACCCTAGTAAGTGTCAAGTCGACCTCTCGTCTCTACTTCTTCAAGATTAGATAGGATACTTACTAGGTACATATTGTTTATGTACTCATACTACGCTTCTGTACTTAATTGTAATGGATCTGAGGCAGGTACATCTTGTTACCAGTCAGGTGCATACTCTTGATCGTAGCCCGAGGTTCCGCGGTGAGCTGATCCATTCCTATGCCGTTCAGCAGCACGATGGAGTCTCTCTTTACTTTTGGCTGTCTATTCTATTTCAGACATTAGGATAGATTTATTCCTTTGTATATTCTACTAGATGCCCACATACTTGTGACACCAGGTCTTGGCACACACATTAGTGGACTATTTTTTTTTTGGGATTATGTAACTATCATGGCACGATGATAATTATTGCTTGTTTTAAATTCAAACTTAGAGGTTGTGGTAACCGTTTTGGAAAAAGTAAAACTAGAACTTATTAATATTTCCGTGTTGGCTTGCCTGACAACGGTGTTGGGCGCCATCATGACCTGATGGGACAGACTGCACAACATGAGGATATTAGAGTCGCATGGGGTTGACTTCACTACTTTCCAGCTGGAGGGCAGAGCCCGCAAATGGTGGCAATCGTATGTTCTTGGCAGACCAGCAGGTTCTCCTCCCATCATTTGGGGTCAGTTCACATAGTTATTCCTGGACAGGTATATCTCACTTTCTGAGAGGGAAGAGCTACGCTACCAGTTTGAGCAGCTGGAGCAGGGTCAGATGTCCGTGACCGACTATGAGGCGAGGTTTTCTGAGTTATCCCGCCATACACTAATGATAATTCCTACTGACGCAGAGAGGGTGCGGAGGTTTGTTGCAGGGTTGCATTCTGGCATTAGGGCCAACATGGCCCGAGAGGTGGAGATGGGGACTCTTTATCAGCTAGTGGTAGAAATCGCTCGGGGATTGAGGGCTACCGTCTGAGGGGTAGGGAGCAGATGCAGCAGGACAAGAGGGCTAGATTTTCTGGAGAGTTCAGAGGTGCCCTGACTAGGGGTAGAGGTCAGTTTGGGAGGGGACAGCCTAGCAGGCCCCCATATTCCGCACCACCACCTGCTCGAGGTGCTCAAGCGCCCCTATTTTAGCGCCATGCAAGAGGGTTCTTATCGCTCGCCAGCTATTCAGGGTTCCTCCAGTGGGTATTCAGGTCCCCAGGGTTCTTCTGGTTCCTATTTCAGTGCTATGCCAGAGAGTTCTTATCGTCCACCAGCTGCACAGAGTTCCTCCGGTGGGTATTCGGTCCATCAGGGCCAGGCTTCTGGACAACAGGCCATGGTGCCGAGGGGTTGTTACGAGGGTGGAGATCCGGGTCACATGAAGAGGACCTACCCCAGACTTCGAGGCAAGGCAGTTCAGTAGGGTTAGCAGCCCATGGTTTTAGCACCAGTTGCCCAGCCGCCTAGAGGCGAGGGACAGACAGGTAGAGGCCGTCCTAGAGGTGGAGGCTAGACAAGGAGAGGTCATCCAGCTACTACTCAGTCAGGGGGAGGCTAGCCAGCCGACGCTCCTGCCAGATTCTACGCTTTTCCGGACAGACCAGATGCGTTAGCCTCAGATGCCGTTATCACAGGTATTATTTCCGTCTGCGGTAGGGATGCTTCAATGCTATTTAATCTAGGGTCTACCTATTCATATGTGTCATCCTTGTTTGCCCGTTTCCTGGTTATTCCTCGTGAGTCTTTGGGCACTCATGTTCATGTGTCCACCCTTGTGGGTGATTTTGTGGTTGTGGATCGGATCTATCGGTCCTGTGTGGTCACATTCTGTGGTTTCGAGACTAGAGCAGATCTTCTGTTGCTTGATATGATCGACTTTGAGGTCATCCTGGGCATGGATTGGTTATCTCCATATCACGCCGTCCTAGATTGCCATGTCAAGACTGTTACATAAGCAATGCCAGGGTTGCCAGGGTTGGAGTGGAAGGGTTCCACAGTTGATACATCTAGTCGGGTTGTTTCCTTCCTAAAGACTCGACATATGGTCGAGAAGGGGTGTTTGGCTTATCTAGCTTATGTTCGAGACACCACCGCAGAGACTCTGATGATTGATTCAGTTCCAGTAGTCCGGGAATTCGCCGATGTGTTTCCTTCTAACCTACCTGGCATGCCACCGGATCGTGATATTGATTTTTGTATTGATTTGACTCCAGGTACCCAGCCTATATCTATCCCACCGTACTGTATTTCTCCAAAGGAGTTGGAAGAATTGAAGGAGCAGCTTGAGGAGTTGTTAGCAAAGGGATGTATTAGACCGAGTGTGTCACCTTGGGGTGCACCAGTGTTATTTGTAAAGAAGAAGGATGGGACCATGCAGATGTGCATTGGTTACCGCCAGTTGAACAAGGTTACCATCAAGAACAAGTACCCGTTGCCGCACATTGATGATTTGTTCGACCGGTTGCAGGGTGCTAGGGTGTTCTCTAAGATTGACTTGATATTAAGGTACCATCAGTTGAGGATTCAGGACTCAGATGTTCCGAAGACTGCTTTCCATACTAGATATGGTCATTACGAGTTTCTGGTGATCTCCTTTGGCTTGACGAATGCCCCAGCGGCGTTTATGGACTTGATGAACAGGGTGTTCAGACCTTATATTGATTCATTTGCCATCGTCTTCATTGACGACATCTTGATATACTCACGTAGCTTGGGAGAGCACGAGCAGCATTTGAGAGTAGTGCTTCAGACCTTGCGAGAGCAGAAGCTATATGCTAAGTTCTCCAAGTGTGAGTTTTGGCTGGAGTCAGTGGCATTCTTGGGCCATATTGTGTCTGGAGAGGGTATTAAGGTGGATCCCAAGAAGATTGAGGCAGTTTAGAGTTGGCCACGCCCTACTATAGTGACCGAGATCAGGAGTTTCCTGGGGTTAGCAGGTTATTACCGGCGATTCGTGCAGGGCTTTTCATCTACTGCATCACCTCTTACCAGATTGACTCAGAATTGCTCCTTCCCGCTGGTCCGATGATTGTGAGGCGAGCTTTCAGAAGATCAAGACGGCTTTGACTACAACACCAGTTTTTGTGTTGCCTTCCGGTTCAGGGATGTATACGGTATATTGCGACGCTTCACGCGTTGGCTTGGGTTGTGTATTGATGCAGGAAGGGCGAGTTATTGCATATGCCTCTCGTCAGCTGAAGATTCATGAGAAGAATTATCCTGTGCACGATCTAGAGTTGGCGGCGATTGTTCATGCTCTTAAGATATGGAGGCATTATCTGTATGGGGCGTCATGTGAGGTTTACAGTGATCATCGGAGCTTACAGCACTTGTTCAAGCAGAGGGATCTTAACTTGAGGCAGTGTAGATGGCTTGAGCTACTGAAGGACTATGACAATACCATTCTTTATCATCCGGGCAAAGCAAATGTGGTCGCGGATGCCTTAAGCAGGAGAGCAGAGAGTATGGGTAGCTTGGCATTCATTCCAGCAGAGGAGAGGCCACTAGCTTTGGACATTCAGTCCTTGGCTAACAGACTTGTGAGGTTGGATATTTCAGAGCCCAGCCGAGTCCTTGTGTGTGTTGTTGCTCAGTCTTCATTATTGGGGGAGATCAAGGCCCGACAGTTTAATGATCCGCATCTGGCAGTTCTCAGAGAGACAGTGCTACAGGGTAGTGCCAAGGAGGTTTCTATTGGCGAGGATGGTGTCCTGCGACTCAAGGGTCGCCTATGTGTTCCTAATGTTAATGGCTTGAGGGAGAGGATTCTAGCAGAGGCACATAGTTCGCGGTATTCTATTCACCCAGCTGCTACGAAGATGTATCGTGACCTGAGACAGCATTATTGGTGGCGGCAAATGAAGAAATATATAGTTGAGCATGTGGTTAAGTGTTTGAATTGCCAGCAGGTTACGTATGAACACCAGAGGCCAGGTGGCCTACTTCAGCAGATGCCTATCCCTGAGTGGAAGTGGGAGCGCATTACTATGGACTTCGTAGTTGGGTTCCCCCGGACCTTGCGGAAGTTTGATGCAGTGTGGGTTATTATTGACAGGTTGACCAAGTCGGTACACTTTAGTCCGATTGTGACTACTTACACTTCAGAGAGATTGGCTCAGATTTACATTCGGGAGATAGTCCGGTTGCACGGTGTGCCTGTTTCCATCATATTAGATAGAGGCCCTCAGTTCACTTCCCATTTCTATAGAGCCTTTCAAAGTGAGTTGGGGAACCATGTGGAGCTTAGCACAGCATTCCATCCTCGGACCGACAGACAGTTAGAGCGGACAGTTCAGATTTTGGAGGACATTCTCAGAGCATGTGTGATTGAATTTGGAGGACAGTGGGATCAGTTCTTGCCCCTGGCAGAGTTTGCTTACAACAACAGCTATCAGTCCAGCATAGAGATGGCTCCATTTGAGACTTTATATGGTCGGCGATGTCGTTCTCCTATCAGGTGGTTTGAGCCTGGTGAGGCTAAGTTGTACGGTATAGACTTGGTGAAAGATGCCTTGGAGAAGGTAAAGTTGATTCAGGAGAGCTTCGCATAGCTCAGTCCAGACAGAAGAGTTACGCGGATCAGAAGGCGCGTGATGTATCATTCATGGTTGGCGAAAAGGTCCTCCTGAAAGTCTCACCAATGAAGGGTGTTATGAGATTCGGGAAGAAGGGCAAGTTGAGCCCAAGGTTTGTTGGCCCGTTTGAGGTGTTGAGGCGAGTTGGGTAGGTTGCTTATGATCTTGCTTTACCCCCCCCCCCCCAGCTTGNTTACGAGCTTGCTTTACCCCCCAGCTTGTCGGGAGTTCATCCAGTTTTCCATGTATCGATATTGCGGAAGTATCACGCCGACTTGTCTCATGTGTTTGACTTCAGTACTATTCATCTGGACAAGAGTCTGGGTTATGAGGAGGAGCCAGTTTCCATCATTGACAGGAAGGATCGCCAGTTGAGATCCAAGAGGGTTTCCGTAGTAAAGGTCCAGTGGAGGGGCCAACCAGTTGAGGAGGCGACCTGGGAGTCCGAGGAGGACGCGGAGCAGATATCCCCATCTTTTTCCTAGCTCAGGTACTTTTCTATGTCCGTTCGAGGACGAACGTTTGCTTAAGAGGTGGAGAATGTAACGACCCGACTGGTCGTCTTGCTTTTTAGAACCCCTTCCCCTAAATAAGACTTCCCGCGCCTGCTTTAACTAATTTACGACCTGCGGGGATGGTTTGTTCGGGATTTGGAAGAGTTTGGGTTGAAATAGGCACACTTGATTCCCTAAGATTTTCTTAAAATGCTAAGTTTGACTCTGGTCAATATTTTTA